TTGCACCACAACCAGAACTTCTTTCAGAACTTCTCTTTTAAATTAACGAAGCAGAAGGAGCATAGTGCTCTTTGTTAACAAGCATGCATGGTCCAAAAAAACATGCTACCTATGACATTCTCTATACAAATGCTACAAATGCATCATCTATAACAAACTAAAACTTATTTATACGTTATAATATTAGTTAGATATGCAAGAATTTTATTTTATTTTATTTTCTCCATAAGTTCTTTAAAAAAAAAATTCAGTTGCACAACTACTACAGCCTGCTACTGGGAGTTAGAGAGAGATGAAAAAAGGGAATAAGGTCCCTGATTCTCATTTGCTGGTGAGCACCTTGCTGTACTACGCATTTCATCAGTTACTCTATCTGGAAGCCTCTTGAAATTCTACAAATCCTTTGCTAAGAGTTTGAGAAACATGGAGAGAAGGCTGTGGACTGTGTTGAATATGACTAATTCATGGGCGTTCAATGTGATTCTTTTCTTCGACACTTGTCACTTATGTCAAGTATGTCTAATGAAGGGGAATTGAAGCAAGGCGAACTTTACAAAATACTTTGTTTTAAACACAAGCAGGTCAGAACTACTGAATTGCTCAGTTTGAAGGATGTCGTAAAGGAAGAAGAAGGGGAAATGGAGATAAGACTAGATAAAGATGGCTTTGGATATCAAATTACAGAATTTAAATGTTCTGGAGTACACAAGAGAAATTCTTGGATCTCGAAGTGTTTTGGTTTTGGTTTTGGTTTTTGACATAACCAACATTGTTAATGAGAGGAAGCACACTGAAACAGGATAGCATATTTTCCAATTATAGAAATAAATCTTATGCATACAGGAAGTCCAGGGTTATTATTTGTTCTATTTTTAGCCTCTTTTGAGACTATTATATGTTCAGTCTATGGTTTCCCTAGACTATTATTGTAACAGAATTATTAGGAGAATTAATCCCAAAATTAATCTCAAGAAAATCAACAAAAATGCAGTCCAGCCAACATTTGAGGAATCCAAACATTTACATATTCCAGCCATTCCTCCAAGTAGAATTCATTTCCTTTCCCAATTTCACAAGGGAAATATTCTCTCCTGATGTTTCCCTTGATATGTAAGGTCAAAGAATTAATTGTTCCTCTTCTTTTTTAAAACAAGTTCAACATGGACTTTGATATCTCTCTGCAGTCCAGTCATCTACCAAGTCAGATTTTAATAACATCATGACCCATAACCTTTTGTTTTAAAATTGGTTTCTGCAGGAAATCAAAGGTGGGGGGTTGTCTATATTAAATATTGATTTATTTTTAAAACCTCCCTTTCTCTTGCCCTTTCTACATTTTCTCCAAAGAAGTTAAAAGGCGATACTAGTGAATGGGTTAATAACCCTTAAAATGTCCATTCTAAATGTTCTCTTTCATTTAGATGCATACACTTTTCTCTCCTGGATTAGAATAACATATTTTTAGTACCATTTCACCTCAAATCTCTCAATTCTTTGTTGCACAAGAAACGATCACTCATTTTCAGCTTATTTAAAACCATCCTATGTGTTTACAAAAATATATTAATAAAAATATATCACTTTTTATTTGACTTTGAGATGAACTAGAAAGCAAGAATCCAATCTAAAATCAAATGCAATTTGAAAAAAAAAATTTGAAATTATTTTATCTTATTTCAAACTGATCAGGACACGTTTTCATTGCACTAATGTCTCATAACAATCCTGTAATGGCCACCTATTACTGAATGCTTACCTGTGCCAAACACTGCTTGATAGAAAGTGCACTCAAAATCTCCGTGAGATAAACATGACTACTATGAACTGAGCTGCGCCCCACCAGTCCACCCTCACCCACCAAAAAATTAAATGTTGATGCCTTAATCCTCAGTATGGCTGTGTTTGAAAATAGGACTTTTAGGAAGTAATTAAGGTTAAATGAGATCATCTAGGTGGATCAGTTCTAATCCAATAAGATGGGTGACCTTATGAGAAAAGAAAGAAATTTCCTATTTTCTCTCTGTCTCTGCACACATCAAGGAAAAGCCCTCTAGGGACATGATCAAAAGGCGGCCATCTTCAAATCAGAAATAAAGAACTTACTAGACTTCCCCCATATTTGCACTGTGGTCTTAGAGTTCAGTCTCTAGACCTTTGAGAAAATATATTTCTGTTATTTAAGCCACCCAGTCTGGGGTACTTTGTTATGACAGACCAAGCAAACTAAAACAGATCTTAGTGTTGAGAAGTGAGATACTGTTAAAACATATACCTAAAAATGAGGAAGCAGCGTTGGAACTGGGTGATGGATAGAGGCTGGAAGAGTATTGGAGTGCATGCTGGAAATATGGATGTTAAGGGTGATTCTGGTATTGTATCAGGCAGAAGTGAGGGACATGCTATTGCAAACGGGAAGAAAGGCAACCCTTGCTATAAAGTGGCAAAGAAATTGCCGCTTTCTATTCTAATGTTTATGGAAGGTAGAACTTGCAAGTAATGAAACTGGATATTTAGCTGAGGGAATTTCAAAGTGTTGAGGGAGAACTTGGTTCCTCCTAATAGCTTATAGTAAAGTTCAAAAGGAGAGAGGTGAACTGAAGAAGGTATTGTCAAACAAAAAGAATGTGAAGATTTGTTCAATTCTCAGTCAATCTACATTGCAGAAAATGAGAAAGCATGTGCTGAAGAGAACACCAAGCCTGTGGCTGCACTCAGTAAAGAACTTAATGGGATTCTACAATTAAGAACACTGTGATTTGAACTGATGGGGATGGAAATGGACAAAATAAATGAATGTTATTTAGGATTTCTTGTATGGGGTAGCTGAGAATGTTCACTATTCTTCAAAAAGAGGGGAAAATGCTCCCGCAGGTGATTCAGATATGGGGTCCACTGCCTTGGTTTCAATGGGCAGGTATGACTTGCACAGCCACAGAGACAGAATTGGCTACAGAGCTTTTATGTCAGGATCTAGACTGACAGAGCCTCAGGGATAAGAGTCCCTCACCAGAGCCTTAAGGGTGACATTACCTCCCCAATGGGTCGGGAGGGCAGAGTCTCAAAGCCAAGAGAAGTATTCCCAAACTTTAAGATCAAGGAGAATTCTGTACACGAAACTGTGTTCCTCCCAAATTGATATGTTTAAGTACTAAACCACCAGTGATAGAACATTTAGGAAGCTATTAAGTGTAATTGAGGTCATAACAGTGATACCCTAATCTAAAGCACACTTTTTTCATGTTTAACATTTTATTTATTTTTGTTTTTATTTTATTTTTTTTATTTTATATATTTTTTACATCATTTTTCATTTTTGCACAATGTATGCATTTTCATCATGGTTATAATCCCCATGCAATTTTTTATTTGTACATTTTGTACAAGTATTGTACAATCAGTGACCTTAATGAAGAGGACCTTAAGGAAAGGTCATGTAAGGCTACAGAGAGAAGGGGCAGTCTACAAGCCAGAAAGACATTCCTTACCCAACCCTAATTTTTTTTTTTTTTTAAGATTATTTATTTACACAAGCACTGGGTAGAGTCAGAAGCTCTGGAGGTTGAGAGAATTCATAGAGCCAGAGCAGGGAACAGAAAAGGCAGACTGAGGAAAATACATTGCTGAGGGGAGCAGCGGGCTGCAGGAGAGGTCTCCGCGCCATGTGGGACCCTCGCTGGCAGCCTGGGATTGAACTGGCGCTGCAGGGGCTGCGGGCAGCTTCGCAGCCCAGCGCTCAACCGCTACACCACCAGAGAGGCCCCAACCCCAATCTTACTGTAATTCTGATCTTGGACTTGGCTTCAGAATTGTGAGAAAATAAATTTCTGTTGTTTAAGCCACCCAATGATATCCTGTTATGTCAGCCCAAAGTGACCAATACAAACACTGTCCCCATTTTATAGATTAGGAAGAAAATAGGAGTCAATGGCCAGACTAGCATTTGAACTTGTGGGTCTTACTAAAAGTGTCCACTCTTTTTGGATTATCCTCTAAATTTTGAGCCCTAAAACAATGAATACAGACAGCCTTAAAAAAACTTTAGGGTAAAAGGTTTTCAGGCTTTTCTGCCCTCCCACCATTAGGATTGCCCCGCCTGATGGGGCGCCTGCAGTAGTTACATTGTTGTAAACTGTGTTGTTTACTTCTGTGGGCCAAGGCTCAGTATTGAGATAGTTGCCAAAAGAAGCAGAAGCAGAAGCACAAGAGGCAGGAGAAGAGAATGCAAAGAAGCCCAGAGTGAAGACCTGCTGGGGGGGTGGTGGGGGATGGAGGCCTCCCAGCACCCCCTGGCACCCCTGCCTGCTGTGTACCTGGTTGCTGCACTACATGTAAAAGCTCAATAAAAGCCCAAGAAAGCCACTGAGGGTTCCAGGATTCCTCCTTTAACTGGTCTGCTCAAATCATAAAGAGCCAGCCCTGTGACCATCCTAGTACTACAAAAACCCAAACCCTTCATCTGTTATTGTTTGTTTTACAGTTTGTTTGTTCTACAGTTTGAGTGGCTATACATACACAGAGCCCAGTCATTTTTCTTATGCCCACTCATTTTCATCTGATTCTTATGTTCTAGCAGGATATTATTTGAGCTCTCAGAATTCCAAGTTAATGTTAAAATTACATCCAAACTTCTTATAATCACAATGTAGAAAAATCTAAGATTTCCTATTGCTGTATTTGCTTTTTATAAAACACATTACATAACAAAATATCCAGTTTGTGTCTGAAACTAATTGGCAGTGTCCTAGTAAACCATATTAAAATTAACTTCTATTAATTGGATTAGAAATTCAGTGAGAATGACAGCTGCTAGTGCCTTTTACAGTTACTTTATTTCTCTATAATCCATATGGCAGAAATCACATAATGCTTTTTTCTCCATTAAAATAAACACTTCAGATAAAAAAGTTTGACTCAGTGTGGTCAAAATATATGCATTTGCTTTATTTTCTTTGTAAAAAATTTTGTACAAACTATACTTTTTTTTTTTCCTTTTTTCACAGGTTTTCACCAGCCATATTTTTATATCTGATTAGCATTGTTCCATCACTATGGCTTCTTGAAATGCACCATGAGACCCAGGTACTTCCTTTCAGAAAGTATGAATGTGGAATATTCAGTAATAAACAACTTTCATAGTATAATATGATTTTGATCAGAGATGCACTTTCCTAATGAACTGGGTTTTTCAAGAGTTGAATAAATAAGAGGACATCAGTGAAAGAAAGTCAATCCATGATCTGTTAAAACCAATAAAAATGTTACATTCATTTAAGATTTAAGATTACATAGTCAGTTAGCAATTTGTGTTAGAGAACTTGTTCCTAAGACCCCACTATCACAATGGAAATATAAAAATTTGTTTTTAACCCTCATAGCCTCAATAAATATCTACATTGTGCTACGAATAGTCAGGGCACGATCATCTAGCATCCTGTAAAGTGACATTTTTAGGAACAGCAAAAAACAATGAAGATAGGCCCACATCTGTTCTTTGGTATGTAAATACAAGCAAACTTTGGTGGGGGTTATTTGAAATGGACTGTTTTAAAATACAGACTTTGCAGATTATAGAAGGTGCACTTTTGAGGTTCCCACGATCTTTTTTAGTGAAATAAGAATTGTACTTTAGGGCCTCCCCAGTGGCGCAGCGGTTGAGCGCTGGGTTGCAAAGCTGCCCGCAGCCTCTGCAGTGCCGATTTGATCCTCGGCGGCTGCTCCCCGGCCACCGGAGGAGGGTCCCACATGGCGCGCAGACCTCTCCTGCCGCCCGCTGCTCCCCTCAGCAGTGTACTTCTGTCCTTCTGCCTGCTCTGCTCCCCGCTCTGGCTCTGGTGAATTCTCTCACCCTCCTGCGCTTCTGACTGTACCCAGTGCTTGTATAAATAAATAAATGAATCTTAAAAAAAAAAAAAAAGATTTATCTTTAAAAAAAAAAAATGTACTTTAAAGCCCCAATTAAGTGTAAAGGAGAGGAGTCATGGGATCCACTAGTGGGAATGGAAGGTTATATGAATTAGGGTATTACCTAGAAAATAAACAATGGCTTCCAATAAGAATTCTTTATCTAGAGAAAGGTACAGATTTTTAAATGAGATGCTTCTTACATGGGTAATCCTAGGGAGCAGGCTCTAGGCTAGACTCAGTTATTTATTGTTACTAAATGGGGAAGCCAGTTAACACAATTCATCAGACTCCAGCCTGGACTTCGTATCTTTAGGGTTTAGGTTATAGGATTATATTACTAATGAGCTGTGGCTATGATATGATACAAATTTTAATACCTTCATTGATCAAAATGCCTTAGGCAAGATTTGTGAGAATTTGTCCCTATACAGATGTCTTTGCTACAGTTGGTCATTTGATAGCAAAAAGTTAAGCCTCCTAAAGCTATTTCAGATATTCAAGCCTTATCTGGAAAATCCTTGCTCCAAATTCACACAGGGAGAATTTAGATCTGTATACTATTTTTGAAGAATTGTACAGCACAAACCAATAACGCAGGGACATGAAGAGAATATTTGTCCTTAAATCTCCTGTTTAAAAATATTAAAGTTACAGATATCTATGTCTATAGCAAAAGCTTTTTTGTTTTGTTTTGTAGCAGTAAATTGGTTAGTTCAAGTTATAGCTTTTAAAAAACTGTACCATAAAGAATTTGGGACTGCTTCAATTTCCTTCCTACTTACTACTTTCAAGGGTATGGCAATAAGCTCTGGTGATTCAAATTATTATTTTTTTTTCCTTCACATCCAATTCCATGGCATGGCTATCATCCACTATAACAATTCATTTCCCCAAAAGCTTTTATAATATAAATGCATTGCACACTTAATTGATACACAGGTCAAATCCCATTACAAAAGTAGCATGTAACCAAACACTCTCTTTTTAATAAAAAAAGATGTTTTGAGCCCTGGGCAGTACCTCTCTAATTTTCATACTACAAAAGAAATTGGACCTTTAGTCATAATGGATTTGACTCATTTTGACACTGAGAATTAAAATGAATGCCCAGGATTGAATTGGACAGGGTGGGCAGAGATGGAAGTAAAAAAAAAAAAAAAAAAAAAAAGAGAGAGAGAGAGAGATGAAGTATTGGAATTGAATTTAAGGAAATAAGAAATGACAGAACAAAAGGTTTGGTCATTTTCTTAGTTACATCATTTAAGAAATTTTGATCATGATAATCATCACTTTTTTTTCAAAGAATTTCTTGATATCAAAGCATTTTCAGACAGATTTTTCTCATGGACCCAGCAATTTCATAAGTTAGACATTATATATTTATTTCTGTTTTATAGAAGTTTCAGAAAGGTTGAGTAATTTTTTCCCAAGGCCACAGAGTTAATCAACAGCAGTTCTGGATCTAAGATCCTAGATCTTGACCCCTAGTACCGTAAACCACATTGCTTTTCTCAATTAAATGTAGGAGAGCAGTTTGCATCAAAATAGTCTGAATTTTTCATGACAGAAAAGAATAATCTGATTTCCTTCCACATTTTCCATTTACTCAACATTCTAAATGTCCTAACCTGTGACTTAACATTAGGAAAACATCTTCACCTACTTCATAAAGACATTTGTCCTAGATGATGAATTCTCTACCTCTATGCCTGAATCTGACAGGATCTGCATGGATGGAAACCGAATAGTTATGACAAGGATTATTACCTTAACTCTTAGTTGGGTCTATTTATGTAGTGGCACAGCTAAAGCAATGGAAACTGTGATGTTGATGGTGTCACAGTCTGGTTTGACCTGAAGTATTAATTTTTTTTTTTAACCTAATGAGCATTTTAAAGATATAGTCCAGGGCCTCCCCGGCAGCGCAGCAGTTGAGCGCTGGCTTACGAAGCTGCCTGCAGCCTCTGTAGTGCCGGTTCGATCCCTGGCTGCTCCCCAGCCACCGGAGGAGGGTCCCACATGGCGCGCAGACCTCTCCTGCCGCCCGCTGCTCCCCTCAGCAGTGTACCTCGGTCCTTCTGCCTGCTCTGCTCCCCGCTCTGGCTCTGGTGAATTCTCTCACCCTCCTGCGCTTCTGACTGTACCCAGTGCTTGTATAAATAAATAAATAAAATAAATCTTTAAAATATACCTTAAAAAAATAAAAAAATAAAGATATAGTCCATGAAAAAGTGACTTGTTGGCATCCAGGTAAATCAATGTGAACTCACCTATAAAATGCTGAATGTAAACAATATTACTATTAAAAAAATACAAGTCAGGTTAGGTCACAGAAGTCAAATCAGTTCCTTATTGTAGCTGCTACTTAACGGAAAGTCCCATCCATTTATAACAAATGAGATTACAAGAGTGGAGAGGGATTCAGGTCTCAATATCATAATATGGACTACAAAGCAATCTGCTACCAAGATTTACTGCAGTACAGATAACTTTTTGTAATAAAATATTTGTATGGATTTTTAGAGATAAGGATATAAAAATCACATCAAGGTCACTGCTTTCTATGTATAATCTGCTTTCATGCCTACAAAGTGGTCACATTTGTTTCCTATTTGCCATTGGATTCTTAGATAGATTAACAAAACTATCTACAGTGAGAATTTGTACCTTGATTGAGAGATTTAATTTCTTATCTTCATTATCTTTTTTTTTGAATCTTAACTATACAAAAACAAAGTGTACGAACAACTGCATTTTTGCTTTTAGTGATATGGCACATTGCCATTTTTCTTAATTATTCTTGTCATTTCACCCATAACACTAGTTGTTTTGGAGGATAGAAAAAAAAATAGCTTCTTGACAGATGTTCTTCTCTACTTTTACAAGTAGCTCATACAATGATAGATGAAGCACCCAGTATAATAAAGAAAAAATACACTTCTTACAAGTTTATCATTAAAAAAAAATTCTCTCCAAATCCAAATGTGTGATCTTGGATGCGTGGTGTTGCTGTTTGTGGTGATGGTGGTGTGTGCGGGTGTTTCAAAAGCATGTTAGCACTGCAGATGTTAAAAAAAAATCTTCAATCTTATCTATTTATTTTTACCCATTTATAAAATTCTTACTAGCTACAGTTACATTTTCAAGTGCCACCCCTTTTCTTTCAAATATTTTTTCCCCTTCTTTTTCTCTATCACATATTCCCAGCATCTGGCTGGATAAAAATCATACACACTTCACTTGCAGAAATTTTATGCAAAAATGAAGGAGCAAAAAGGAGAAAATGTTATTTATTTTAGTTCTAGTGTAGAGTTTTCTAAATTGACATTAAAGACTTATTTTAATGGATAAAAATGTTAATTATTTCTTGGTTGCCACAGTGCTTATCAGGCAAGATCGAAGTAACTGAATTATTTAAACAAAATAATATTTTAGATAAAGAGGCTCTGGGCAAGAAACAAATCTTAGAATGAATGCTTTGAGCAGGATCACACAAGTTTTAGTGTTGTCATTAATTGCTGGCTTGTTTTGCAGTTGTTTCAGGGTTCAGGAAAGGAATCCCAATGATCAATCCATAAATTCTTCATTTTACCACAATGAACTAAGAATGTCTACAGCCTCATAAAATTGTGGAAAAAATAAGATATATAGGTGACACTCTTATTAATAGAAAGTGGTTTTATATCTCAAGCCTGTGTAATCTGATTTTTGGAAATGTTTATGCATACAGTCTAAATTCCACACATCTACTCAGTGTCTTAGATACAACGGAATTATCTTAAAGTCTACTTATCATGGAATATATTTTTTTGATTTATTGCCTTTTAAAAAATTCTTAGTATTGCAGTAGTCAATCTGAAGAAATGATACAGAATACCAGCAGCAAAGAAGATTTCAATCAAACACTGATGTCAAGTGAAAAAACCAATGGAGCTGATGATCTCATTGAAACGGTGAGAGCTTTTCCCACTGTATATAAAAGGATCTAGCAACTCACCTTTCACTTCCTGAGGATAACATGTTCCATACTTTTCAGCTCTTTCTTTCCTAAAGTGATTTGCCAATTCTTTATTTGGCTCAGTAATTCAAAAAATAATCATATTTTTATATTTAGTAAACATTTAACATACATAAATAGGCATCTATACCTCATGTATTTTAATAGATGTAATTTGCAACATTATGAGACCTTTAACACTTAAATTAGACAAAATATGCACAAAGAGTGATGCATTTGCTTGTGAACGAATGGTATAAGTGAAAGATTGGGAGCTGCCCTATTTTTTTTTTAGGTGTTTATATTAATAAAAGTGGGATGCTTTCCAGCCAAAACAGAATCACTTCTTTATTTTTCACATGCCTGATATTTGGCAAACAACTGTGGTCTATTAGAAAATCATACAAGGGAGAGACCTGAGACCAAGGCACCAACCACTAAACCATCGTTTCAACAAAATAAGCTATTAATTCTATGAGATTTGACATAACTATCTGGTGTTCTAATGGGCGCTCCAGTTATAGTTTTGCTAATATCACTTTGAGAAAATCACTGTATTAAGTTTTGCATCTGATAGTTGTAAATAATAATATTTATTCTGCTAATATGCTTCTCGTTAAAATTAAGTAAGATATATGTGAAGTCTCATAGAAGAAATATAAAGTAGTGTGCAAATGAAAGATTGTTATGTTTCATGCATGGTTTTAGTCAGACTGCAACCTCCCTTGTTTTTTTATCTTCCTTTGCACTTGACATCAGCAAGTGAGCAGAAAGGATAAATAGATTTTGCACAAATATAGGTAAGTCACTCATATAATTAGTTAGAATCACTATCCAACATTATGCTTTAAAACTTGTTTAGAGGGCCACCCCAGTGGCACAGCGGGTTGAGCACAGCGCTATGAAACTGTCCGCAGCCTCTGCAGCGCCGGTTCGATTCCCACCCAGCCAGGGAGAGACCCACATGGCATGGCAGACCTCTCTTGTCTCTCCCGCTGCTCCCCTCAGCAATGTGTTTCAGTCACTCTGCCTGTTCTGCTCTCCACTCTGTCTCTGGTGAATTCTCTCACCCTCCCGCTACTCTGGCCTGTACCCCAGTTCTTGTATAAATAAAAATAAATCTTAAAAAAAAAACTTATTTAGAAATTAAGTGAGCAAGAGAGGTCATCTGGAATACATGAATGAAATAAAGTTTCCTGAGTCCAGGAATAATGGTTGAATAAAATTCATTTGATGGTCTATGGATTTTTGAATAACATGTTAAAATAGTCATAATAAAAATAGTAACTTTATAGTTAGTTTCTTTACTTTAGGTTTAGGTAATGAGGTTAGGTGATAAACATTATTTTTTTTTCTCATTTGATATAGTAGTGTTTTAAAGAATAAAAAATGGAGAAGATTTATATCATGATAAATTGCTAGATAAGTAAATTCAGAGTTGAAATCTGTAGAAGAAAAATTAGCAACTTTTTGTGACTTTAATATGGAATTTAAAAATTTTTGCAATGTGGTATAATTTGTTATGGAATAAAATAAAATGAGAAGTAATCTATAAAACATTGTAAAATTGAGTTTTTAAATATCATCTAGTACAATCTAACTGGCAAATGGAAGTTTTAAATTACTTCCAATTATAAGACTGCCTCATTTTAAGAACCATATTAAGTTTTTCTCAGATTGTTCAGCTAATAGGAATTTTGCTTTCTTTAGTAAGTAAGGAAGCATTTTCTGAATATGATCTTCCATAAAAGCTAACTTGATTAAAACCATGGTGAAGAAGGCATCTCTTTCTATGGTGGTAGTTTCTAATTCTTGTGTCTGCATGACATTTCTGTTAAACAGGCCAAAGTGTTTGTAAATAACTTATCTACAGTGTGTGAGAAAGTTTGGACTCTGGGACTCCATCAGACATTCCTGCTAATGCTAATAATTGGAAGATGGCTTCTACCCATTGGAGGTGGGATCACTCGAGATCAACTCTCTCAACTTCTCCTTATGTTTGTGGGGACAGCTGCTGACATACTGGAATTCACAAGTGAGACTCTGGAAGAACAAAATGTGAGGTAAGCAGAAGCTGTGATGCAAAGACCTTTTCAAGGTCAGATCCACACAGCTGTCTCTGCTCTATTATTTATATTCTGCATAAGTAAGAATTTTCAGTATATCATGTCTACAATAGTAGAATCATAGGATTTACTGCTGATCAGATACAAATCAGTTACAAATCCAGATATATAAAGAAAGTTTCTGGTAGAAAAAAAGAGCAAAAATAATATTTTAAGGGTGAGAACAGAAAAGTTCTGCACACATGCATTATCACAGGCTAGGCAGGACCATGGTTATTTGAAAATTTTCTGGAGGTGAAATGATGATCCCTAGTTCCCCTTTTACATTCTCAACTGTCTAGGAATGTAACCAATAACAAGATTCTCTTTTAGAGGACACCACAGCCACAATTCCAAGAAAGCACCTGGACGAAACATGGAAAAATCGCTCGACTCTCTAGTTGGGTGTGAATGGCAAGTGGGGCAGATTAAGTTTTATTTTACTAAATTTTATTTTCAGTCAGTTTTGTGTCCAAGTTAAGTGCCCAAAGGCTTTCTAGTGTAGAGCCTATAAATTAAAACTTATTGAGTTGGTTCTTTTATTTTTGCCACAAGCAAATAAACTCAGAATCCATGATCACATCTGTTTATGGAACTACTTTCTTACCATTAGGGATTTAAGTCTCAGTGCCTGAATGTACTTTCAGCTTGGGTTGTTTTGCACTAAGCTATAAAAATAAATTGGAATGAGGCTGGCTTTTAATGCTACGGTTTACTTTATGCTGTGTTCCTTGAACAATGAAACATAAAGCTGAGCAAAATAAACTAGCTTAGTGAGTAAACTTAATAGTCAAATTAAGGCACAAAGAATTTCTGTAACAATAGGTTACCTTACATGAGCATTTTGCTTCATTTATACTAATTTTTATACCTTATTAAGCAGACATAGAATTTTAAAGAGAATCCCTTTCAAGTTGATGTATTATTCTCAAATATTTGTTTTAGTTTTGTAGTATTAATACTCTGAATTTGGTTGATACTTTCACATGGTATACAGATTTTCAGATACTTTAGGACACACCATAATGGGGTTACAAGAAAAAGAATTGATGACAGTACATAAAACTAATAAATAACGGAACCGTGGTACGAACACGGCAATTTAAAGACAACTAACTACACCTAGATAGAAAGAAGCACATACCTATAAATATCAGGGGAGACGACAGGGACACAGGGTAGGAGATAGGTTTTCAGGAGGGATATGTTTTGTGGGAACGTTAATAAAGTTGCAAGACATATCAAACTTGGCTATCTTAATAGCCGGTTGAGTAGACCCAACCACAAGTGACCCTAAGGTGCACTTCATAGATCAATGTTTGCAATTAGGTATTGAATATTAAATGTTAATAAATAAAATAAAAATTTTCCAGCAAAAAAAGAAAACCTTGAACAATCATAATATATTTATTCATTCACTAAGCATTGACACATTAGCTGGTATGTGCCAGGCAATGTGTTAGGAAAAGATTGGGGAACAAATGGTGAGTTAGTGATGAGTAAAAGAACACAGGATCCTCTCCTAAACCAGGCAATTTCAATCCATCAGTTTCTACTGCTATTTACAAATTAATCTGAACACTTTATAAATCTCTTTTTTTAACTCTAATTTTGAATTTGATTCATGTCCCAACAATGGGGTTGAATAATTGTGTCATGGTGTCATGGTTTTTGTTTTCAAATTTCTTTTCAGGTGTTGCTCTCAAACTGAAACACTTGTTTTTCGTAAACTTCATTGTTTCAGTGACCTGTCCTCTCAACTCTGCTCCCACATTCCTGTGTTGTTCTAAGAGTTTTATATATTTAATATGTAAAATCCAATAATTGTTATCATCACATTCTCATATTGATGATGGAAAACTAAAGCATAGCTCATATTTATATAGCTATTAAATTATCTATTTGGTATTTTATCTCTCTAGAAGAGTGGAAGCTATATTTGAACTCTGGCAACCTAGTGTAAGAGCTCAAGCTTTACCACTGCTCTCTGCTGCTGCCTTGCAGATAAAATGCACATAAGTATTTGGTAGAATTATTTTAGTAGTTTGGGATTAAAAGACGCTTCACAGTGGCCATTTATTGAAAAATCTATTTTACATCTGTTGCAAAATCCTCTCAAAAGTTTTCTCAATAATTTTTGTCTGGACTTTGAAAATTTTCACTATTAGAGAATATACTCACTCCAGAGGCAATTCATTTAATTTTGACTTATTAGAAGGTACTGTCCTCTATTTTGATGAAATTTGGATTTCTAAGGTGCAACTAAAATCCTTTAAACTTGAATTGAACCTATAAAGTCACAAAAATCATTTTAATTCCTTTTTCCCATGAAAACTCTTAAAGTGTATGAAATAAAGTTTTAAAGGACTCTTTTCTTATTTTCTTTCTCTTGGACTATCCCATATATAACATGACTGAGTTTTTATCACCCAAGTGATAAAATGTTTTGGGGCCAAATTTTTGGATAAAAAACTTTATAAATTTCCTTCCTAAAATATGAAGCACAACACATAATATCTCAAATATATTGCAACCATTACAGAACAGTGCCAAAACTTTCCATTTAATTCATGGAAATAGTATAGTACAATAGCTTTCTATTATACTAAACACTTCTTTTTTTTTTAATATTAAACACTTCTAGTTTTTTGAAGAGTGTAAGCCTAGTTTCCTCACTGAGCAAATAGGTATGACAGTACACCAATTTTGTTCAGTTGGTATTAAGTGTTAAACAGGAAGGTGACAGGCACATAGAAGAACTGAGAAACTGTAGGTAAAATATTTAAATTCTGGACCTCATCGAAAGTGTATTATATATAGACATTGACATTACAAAGAAGGGAAATTATAGACTGCATTCCTGAGGCATTTCCATTTAAGATTCTACACTTTATACTTCTTGTGCAGCAGTCTGTGATTGTATTCGATTTTGGAAAATCATAAATCATGTCACACTGTAGATTCATAATTTGATAATAGCAAGGAAAAATCCTTGAGCTTATTTTTATGGCTGCTGCTGTGAAATGTTACTTGTTTTGTCCTATTCTAGGTCATCTAGTTTAAATCCTGTCAAGATCCTTTGGGATCCTGATGGTATCTTCAAGGTACTGGTTTCCCATCCAAGCTCCATGTCATACATGTCTTCCATCAATGCTGGCAGTCAAATCATTGATGAAATACAAAGTATAGCAGGGTTAAAGGCAAAGTCTGCAGCAACCCACTAGAGATCCCTTTGGGGAGTAATTTACATAACTAGGAATCCACCTAGCAGTACTCAAATCCAGAACTTTCTTGATTTTTTTTTTTTTAATAAGAACACTATGGCAGAGGCCTCCTATGAAGACACAACCTATGAAGTTGTCTGCAACCACTGCAGCACAAGTGCAATTCCCAGGCAGAGAGCAACCCACATGGCACAGCAGACCTCTCCTTACTCGCCCACTGCTCACCTCAGCAGTGTATTTCAGTCAATCTGCCAGTTCTGCTCCCCTCTCTGTCTCTGGTGAATCCTCTCACCCTCCACACCTCTGGCCTGTACCCCTGTTCTTGTATGCTTAAATAAATAAATCTTTTAAAAAAAGAGCACTATGGCAGGCTTGATTACATTCAAATGTATATTAATTTATAAATCATTACCTGCATGGCAATCTTAACTTTATCTTAAAAAAAAAAGGGAATAATCTAAGTTCAGTGCAATTGTTCTTTGGAAAACTTTGCTGAGTTTAGTAAATATTGCCTTCAATAAGGGATCTCAGAAATCTTTAAAATAATTACTTAAGTGATCTGACTGGGGATTAATAGTAAATGTGCCTTGTGTAGTTTATGATGCATTTCTCCTTTATTTTAAAAGCTAACACTTCATTTTTTCTCTGCTGGCTTTATTTCCATTAACTGATAAAACAGGTAATGGTGGCCTAGAAATCTCATTTACGAATACTTTCAGAGTTTTAAATCTAATTTTTCAGGCCCTCAACACTCACAACATTTAAAAACATCTCTTACAATCACCTCATTTGAGTTGGTTTCAATTACTCTTCCCTGATGCTTTTCTCTCCATCTCCAATCTGAAAATATTTTTTATAGTGAAATTGGCAACAAAATATTTATTATACTACTAACTTCAAATTAATAATTTCCTTTGCATTTTTGCTGTAAAAAGTGACTTTAATATTTCTTTAATATACTTTGCATATTTTGTAACCACGTCTCTTTCTGATTTTAGTCTTCCAAGACTATTCTCTTAGAACAATGACATCTGTAGATTTGTCAAGTATGGACCCTTCTTTTGTACATACAACAATTCCTTCCACAAAATACGTCTAGTGTTTAATATTTTCCAGCTACTCTTCCAAGCACTAGAGATACAGTGGTAAATGAAACTCACATAGTCTTTGCCTTACATCTAACTTTAAAATTAGTCTTACAGGGCCTCCCTGGTGGCATAAGGGGTTAAGATGCAACCTATGAAGATATTCGCAGCTTCTGCAGCACGGGTTCTATCCCTGGCCAGGGAGCTACCCACATGGCGCAGCAGACCTCTCCTGACTTGCCCTCTGCTCCCCTCAGCAGTGTATTTCATTCAATCTGACTGTTCAGTCCCCCACTCTGTCTCTGGTGAATCCTCTCACCCACCCCCCCACACCTCTGGGTACCCCACATCTTGTATGCATAAATAAATAAGCCTTTAAAAAATTAGAGTTACAATCATAGAATAATTTCATTTGTTCTTGAAATTTCTTGAAGTCAGTGCTGAATGTATAGGTCCTGCCTATTTTTTTCCCCTAGTCTTTCTCTTCCATAATGTTTCCATAATTTTGAAAAACTAAAGACAGTAAAACGGGACTCAGAGCTTTTGCCATAAATCACACAGATGTTGGTACATGTGAAATTTGGGTTTGAAGTCTTAGATGTTTTGTTTTTTACTTGTTTTTCATTATTCCACTTTAATCATCCATAGATTGTTGATGGATTTCTTATACTACCAAGATATTATGGCAGTTCTCACTGGCTCATTAGGGTATAATCAAGTGTGAGAAAAAAAGAAACAATTTTCTACATATAATTCAATTTTTATTACTAATTTAAAGCTTGATCTGCATTCTAGGAATAGTCCTGTCTTAGTCTATGCCATCCTTGTCATATGGACCTGGAGTATGCTGCAGTTCCCACTCGACCTGGCAGGTAGGTGTGTTGAAGTTTGCTCAAAGAAATAGAAGCTTCTAACTCTCAACTGTAAATTGTAGTAAAACTAAGGAAGCCTTTGAGAAGATTGTCATATTTTATGATTTTGAGATCTCACTGTTAATTCCAGTTCAGCTTAGATGAAAAGCAGATTGAATCTTAGGAAAGCCATAAGCAGGTCTACTCTGGAGCACAGTGAGCCTGAGATTAGTGGGTAGATAAGAGCACAGTTTTACACTCACTTCAGACAGTGGTTCTGTCACTTAATGGTGTGTAAAACCTCCTGCAAATTAGTTAATACATTCTGTACCTCAGTTTTTTTCATTCATGAAATGGGGGTGATGATCATAGTTGCTAGGGTGGTGAGTTTTTGTGCGATTAGATATCATTTGTGAAGGGCTTAATGCATTGTTTCCAGGCATATAAATGTCATGTCCTGATGTTTTTGAAGAGGTCATTTTCAATCCTTTGTCATACTCATGTATTAAAATATTAGAGAGAGTAAGAGCAGCTTCAGGGCTACATAGAAAACTGAAATTTTCCTCAGAAGTGGCCAATGGCATCCCCTTGGTCTTTCTTTTAAAAAGACATAAACCTTAACAGGTTGCATGAGCAAATTGTTTCCAGGCATTTCATACAAACCAAATGTGGCTATATAAATTTAAATTAAATAAAAAAAATAAAATTCACTTCCTCAGTCACACTACCCACATTTAAAGTGTGCAATTGCCACATAGCATAGATATAGAATGTTCTGTCATCTCATAATTTCAAGAAACACTGTATTTTTGATTTGGGAATTCTCTTGGATGCCATTTTATTCTAAAGAAATTCTAAGACTTAATAATTTTATTTTCCTTAAATCTAACTTTGGTTTATGGCACTTTTTCTCTTGGCCTCAAGATTAGAATTAATCTTTGGACAGATATTTAATCTTTGCCACAATTTTTTTTCACTTATTTTAAGAGGTCCAGAAGATTCAGAAGCTATTTTTCCCTTTAGCATCCACTTTCTGAAACAAAATTGTCTTTAGAATCAAGGGAGAGGCCATGACTTTTTGGAAATTCCAAAAACCTAATTAGCAGTTAATAATATGTGCTTATAAAACACACACACACATACACACACACACACACGCACCCCTCATAATTTGCCCTAGCAGTTACTCTATGCTACTGGTCAATTAGTGTCTTCTGACAGAATATTAGGCACCATATTTTAGAGGTTGAGTAAGTCAAAGGAGGTCTTCTGAGAATCATCTGCTGATCCTACATTCTTATTATTCTAAATTCTTAGAAAAGGTTATTATTGATTCTGTACTAGGTTTTATTTACTTATTTATTTATTTACTTATGCCATTTACACTGTTGATCCTCACCCTCCCCTCCCATATCTTGTGGTTTATAGGCTTGCTAAGAAAATTTTTATTTAAGAAAGAAATTTTGTAAACTTTCAGGGGTGATAATGTTATGCAGCTGTTTGCAAAACAAAGACCAAATGTTACTGCTGACTAAATCACTATTGTATTTTACAACAAACAGAGCATTATGTTCACCGTATCAAAGCAGCTTCATAATATTTGCAGGATCCAGTAGATGAAGGCATTCTTTGTTTGAAAACTCAAATGGAGGGCTTCATTATTCTAAAAGGATTATTTTTTTGCCCTTGACCTTGAATTAAATTTACATTTTAGAAATTAAAACAAAAAGGTTCATCTGTTGATTGGACTGCCTTTGTTCAACTGGAAAATCAATAATTACACCCAGTCCGTTTTGTAAACTGTGAGACAAAACCATAAGGAATTAGACAAAATAAAATAACAATGGCATTTATTTGGGCTTTTTTCTCCTACCAATTAGAAAAATATAATTAACATGAATTATGTTTGAATTTGAATATAAATACTTGAATTTTTACAACACAGTTTACACATATGGCCATATCAGTCTGCCAGTAAATAGGTAGATCCCAGAGAGGATACAGAAGGATCTGGACCATAAACTTAGCAGTCAGGTAGGTCTCATACCGCAAGTGAATGAGAGAGTAAGAAAGCAGAGGAGCCCACTGATGTTATTGTCATCAGTCAATGAAGAGGGGACCCCTCTCCTCATATACATCATTTGCTACCATTTTTCTAAGTAGAAAACTAAAGTCCAGCCAGCTTAAATAATTTGACCAGCATCTCTCTGCTAGAACATCAGGGAGCCAGAGAGGTTGTCTGGCTTCCTGACTGGAAGCCTGGAACAATCAGCTATGCATACTCTCTATACTGCATATCCTAAAGACAGGCATGGTTTCCTTTATTCTCCCTAACCTGGTTAATTTTGCTTTCCCCATGTGTGAGAACTAGAAGGTAATCTGAATTGTTTTTACATGGATGAAAGAGAGAGTTGGCTTTCTTCCGTGAGTCTTACTCGAATTATAACAGATGATCGATTTTAAATGGTGAATGATCAAAGATGTTCAATGGCAGCAAGGTTTCCCGTGGTCTATCCAGAATTAAATTACATATTAAATTAAATCATTAACTACAACACCCGTTCTGGATGACTTGTCCCATTTCATTCTTTTTTTTTTTTTTTTGTAAGATTTATTTATGCATACAAGAACTGGGGTACAGACCAGAGGTGTAGGGAGTGAGAGCATTCACTAGAGACAGAGCAGGGAGCAGAACAGGCAGAGGGACTGAAAACACTGCTGAGGGGAGCAGCAGGCGAGTCAAGAGAGGTCTGCTGCACCATGGCTGGCTGGGTCCCTGGCTGGCTGGGGCTCGAACTCATGCTGCAGAGGCTGCAGACAGCTTCATAGTTTGCGTCTTAACCCCTTGCGCCACCAGAGAGTCCCATCCCCGTTTCATTCTGTCTTACGTTTCTACATTTCAGAGGTATGAAGTTAACTGGTGTGTCTTGTGTTTTCAGTACAGCATGTGGTGTGCCCCTCATCAGTGACATCAAGGAACTTCCCCAGTCTGTTCTTCTGCCAGTACAGTGCCGATCTATGGAACATTGGAATCAGCGTCTTCATACAAGATGGTCCTTTCCTTGTTGTGCGTCTAATACTGATGACCTATTTCAAAGTGATAAACCAGATGCTGGTGTTCTTTGCTGCAAAGAATTTCCTTGTGGTGGTGTTACAGCTCTACCGCTTGATAGTGCTGGCTCTGGATGTCCGTGCTTCCTTGCAGAATCAACTGGAAGGCCTGAAAGGAGGGCACAATGGCCCAGGTCAAGTAGCTGAGAGCAGGGTCTCACCTGGGCACTGGGAAGGTGGTTCTAAGGAAGGCTCGGATATACCTCTGCGGGTCTCATCAGGGACCTCCGAGGACTCTCACTCCACACCTTAGTTATTTATTGACAGCAACATGTGATGCAACTGGATCATGTGATTTTTCTGGTTCTTCTTAAAGACAGAATCTTCCTATCTTTTTTTTAATCCTGTTATATAATAATTTTCAAAAGAACAACATAAAAAGTGATCTTAAACCAAAGCTCAGAAATTTTCTTTTTTCAGCTGAATGGAAGGAACTTTGCTTAGTGGCTATAGCTACAACTTCTGTGTGATGGTATCAGATGTTATAGTTGTTCAACGACTAAGTGATTTGTTTTTCTTGAACTGTTTAAAAAGCTATGGACAGGGTTACAGTGACATGCCCTCAAAAGATTTAGTGCAGACAAACTGTCGCGGCTGTTACCTGAAAATAGAGAAGCTTTGAACTTTGGCTCCATTGTCAGAATATCTCTTCTGATCTTTTCTGCAATGTCCCTTTGACATTAAAAAAAAAAAATTGTACATTCAGTGAATGCAGAACAAATGAAGGGAAAATGCCTTTAAAATTACCTCACTGTAGGCTGGAAGCAGTGAAAATCTCGGCCTAGCTTCCATAGCGTTGAGAGACCTCTTCATCGCTGCACAGACCTTCCCAGGAAAATCATTTTTCTGGGCTGATGTGGTATTCTATCATGGCTCACTTTTACAGAAATTTTATTGCTTTTGGCTTGGACATTGCAAAATTCACAGCAAGCCATTTCGATTACATATCTACTGGTTGCATGGCAGGAAATACTGGTAAAATGCTAGCAAAGTCAAAATTTCCACTCCGAACATGGTTTGTGGTATTTGTCAGTATTTTTCTTACCTCTGCTTTACCATTTTCTATATTAACAAGTTGAATTATATGGACTGAGTCCAGGGAACGCTGAAGTAGTGAATGAAGGTATTTTAGTTGCCACAGTTTCTGGTGTCTTTCTGCCAGGAGTAGCTTAAGCCTCCCTGAACTGCCACTACTACAGATGGCCTTTGGTCTCAGGAAGATGCTGGTGATGGAGACTCGCATCAGCCTTACCCACAGTCATTGTCCTTGATTAACTGATAGAGTCAGAACATGCCACAGAATTATAAAAATCAAGGAAATTCCTTTTACTTTTCTAAAGCCAAATTCCTTTTCCCAGTATTAAAATAACCATTCTTCCCCTTTATAAACTTTTGTATTTCCAGAAGGAGGTGATTCAGAACCTTTAAAAATGATTTTTGCTTTTTAACAGGTAGAATGAAAATCCCCTGCCTACATAGGAGTAACAATATGAAGCAAACAGTTTCAAAACTCTTATTTTAAGGTTCAAGGCATAATTCCTCCCTGTTGTTATGCTCAGGAATTCAAAGGGTAATTAAAGACAAAGCAGGGTATGACTTTAAATCTGATGTGACCTATGACAACCAGTTGGAACAACCTGATTTAACTATAGATCTCTGTGTCACATGATATTTGTTTAAACATTTGGTAGGAAAATTCCGTTTTCATACAAAGAAATGAAATCTTCAGTGCCTTCTCATGTTTCTTTCTTTTGTTGCCTGTGTTTTAACAATATGATGATTGTAAAATTACTCATGAAACTAATGGACTAAGTTTCCAATTCCCCACAATAATTTTTGAAAGTTTAAATCAGGAAATTATATTTACATAAAGAACTTGACAACTTTTAAGGGCATGTTATTTAAAATGCTTAGCAATTGAAAACAAAATAATAACTGCTATTTATAAAAATGCCTCAGCAGAATCTGTTTTTATGTTGACTATTTTATGTTGAGTGTTTTCCTCCACAACATGTATGTGCTGCTTATTATTGCAGATTTGCTCATGGCATACTTTTCATATTTCGATTTTTTTCTTCCAGCAAAACAAACATTGGGCCTCTAAAAATAGATAAAGTATAAAGTAGTACGGCTGTAGCAAAGATATTTTAAATACTTTCAAATCTGAGACTTGGCTTGGCTTCATGAATGAGTTTCTAGCATTTGAGTAAATTTTTTTGTAATTAGCACTCCTCCAAAAGCCTGGGAAATAGAAAGCTCGTCCAGAGTCTAGCTTTACTTTGTGTGCCAGGAAGGCAAAAAGCACCGAGGACTAAGTCAGCTATTAATGGTGGCAAAAATAGACACTAGCTCTGCAAGATTTTCCAGGAAAGTCTGCTAAGGGCAGCATTTGTTAACTGCCAGTACGCTCAGTCTCACTGACTGTTTTCATCGTGGGGAAAAAAAATCTGTATTCATTTAGTTTATTTAAAACTGAAACCTAAGTCTGGGTTTTAGCCTTAGGATCTTTGATGAAAAGTTTAAAATGTATTTAATTTTGTGTTTTTATGATAGATTGCTAAGCATTGCAATGTTAGAAAACATCCAAGTGCTTGCTATAAAGTGGCTAGAACAGCAGTTACCACCCATATGTTGACATCTTGGGACTTGCTTCCATTTTATTTGTAATAAGATAACTGACTCAGCTCATTTGTATAATACGGTGAACGCCACGCCTCTCTACCATCCTCCACAGACATAGAACACTCCAGCCTGCAGTCATGAAGATAGTGGCTGTCTGTTACCATTGGTGCTGTTGTTATTGTTGATGTTGTTATTTAATTGCTTGCTTAAAACTTAATCAAATGTTCTTCCTAAAAATGCTTCATTCCACTTGTAAGAAAGCACCATGTACTGTGTAGATGCTGTGTAAAAACACACCTCATAACCATCTTGTGGGTTTTCTTTTACTGGATGAGTCTCAGAGGACATGACTGGACATGGCAAGATTATCGTGTTAATTTTTATTTAATCTGGAACTGAAAACATAAGTGAATCAAAATTTGTACTGGCCGATAACATTCTTTCTAACTCTTCCAAATTGAAGATTCTTACACAAATTTATGAGTTGGCTCTGTTGTAGCTTCAAGATCAGAAAGATATGGCCAAAGATATCAGGATTCACTATTGTACTATTGTAATATGAATTGTTTCAATCATGATTAATAGAATTTTTTCATAGTCCTGGGAAGGCACACATGGTAGTGCACATGCTTTAGGATTTTTACCTGGGTTACAGAGTTCAGCATTGACTTTTGTTATCTTTAGCCCTTAATCTCAATGACTCTTCATCAACTCTTCCATTAAAAGACAGAAAAAATTGCAAAAAGCTAAACCTCTCTCCATATCCACTTTACTCCAGTGAGATGTTGAAATATTGCAGAAGCACGGAGACATAAGTAAAAACTCAAATTGTCTTGAATTATAAGAAGAGACTGTTATTTTTGTTCTAATTTCAAACTTTGCTTTCTACTTACTGGACATTCTGATCTACTCTCAGAAACATCTGACGGGTTAAACTAGGCAGCTGGGGGATGTTTATGGCTTGAAGGCTTCAAATAACTTTCCTTGTGATGGGAGTAACTCTAAACAATGTTTGAATAATCAACTGTTGTAATCTTATATTTTATGGGTATCTATCCTCTGAATCTTTCTTATTAGAAGATTTTATAAAAATATTTTCTCAAAACTATTTATATTTTATACTATTTTGCTATGAATGACCTTTGTATTTTATGAAATACATTAAATAGTTTGTATACAACTTTATCTTAACAACTATTTTTTTGCTTGCATTTTTGATCTTTGTTCTCAAGTATAATTCATGTCATTCAATTTTTAGGCTTTGGTTTTAAAAAATCTTGATCTATTTAGAATATGACTAAAACGGCATTTCAAACTTGTGAGGAAAGATTGACCAATTTTATAAATGGTTGAAAAATTCTGCAAACCATCTGGAAAAAATAAAGTTAGATCTTTATCTCACGCAATATATAGAAATAAATTCCAGATGGATTAAAGATCTAAATGGAAAAGTGAAAACTATAAAATATTAGAAGAAAACATGGAATATGTCTTTAGCAATTGGTGCATAGGAATACCTCCCAAAGAAAGACACGATAATTTTTTCTACATAAGGATTTAAAATGTCTGCGTGGCACAAGATATCATGAATACATGATGATTATCTTCTTTTCTGGAAAAAGATGTGAATGCAGTCAGACATGAGGAAAGAAAGGCATAGAAATTAGAAAGGAAGAAACAAAATGATTATTTACTTATAGAAGACTGAGTCTTGATCATCTAAGAAAATACATAGAAACGTATCAAAAGCATCTGAAATCAGTCAAAATTGTTATTTTTGATATATAAACATCACATTGAATATATACTTGAAGAAATTTCCACGATAATATAAACTAGAACCATAAAATATATAGAAATAAATTTAACAAGAAATGTAGAAGACTTAGATGAAGAAAACTTTAAAATTATTTTGAGGACCATCAATGAAAAATTTAACTACCTAAAATACATGTTCATTTGGGGAGTGCTAAGAAATGCTGATATTTTAAAAAATATCACTTTTTTTTTTAAATTGACCTATAAATTTAACACAATCTCCTAATGATAGAAGATTTTGATTTTTAATGACTACACAAGTTGCTTTTAAAGATGTCATTATAAAACTAGCTTGAAAGAATAGCTGAGGGCCTCCCCGGTGGCGCAGTGGTTGAGCGCTGGGTTGCGAAGCTGCCCGCAGCCTCTGCAGCTCCGGTTCGATCCCCGGCTGCTCCCCGGCCACCGGAGGAGGGTCCCACATGGCGGCAGACTTCTCCTGCCGCCCGCTGCTCCCCTCAGCAGTGTACTTCGGTCCTTCTGCCTGCTCTGCTCCCCGCTCTGGCTCTGGTGAATTCTCTCACCCTCCCGCGCTTCTGACTGTACCCAGTGCATGTATAAACAAAACAAACAAACAAACAAATAAATAAATAAAATAAAACATGCCTCTATTGAAAAAAAAAAATTTAAAAAATAAAAAAAAAAGAAAGAATAGCTGAAAATACTAAAAGGAAAAGAAAAATGAGAATGCTTTCAGCATATTTAATGCATTATAGAGCTATCGTCATCAAGAAAAAAAAATTGATTTTACCAGGCAGAAAAAATGGAATAAAATAAAATCAATAAATAGACTAATTTATATAAGGGTTTTGAATTCTTATAAATTGTGGGAGGGTGGGGGGCTAGACTATTGCAAGTGGTTTTGGATTTGGAAAATTAATATTAAACTGGATTTGTACTTCAGTCCTTATGTCCAACAAAACATTTCTGAAGTGATCAAATAGTCAGAACATAAAAATAAAAAAAAAACAAAACAGAATTTTGCTTTTATAATTGCAATGGTTAAGAATGTTTTTAAGCAAAAAAACAAAAGATTCATAAGTTACAGCTTGTAAAATAAAAAATCTTGAGTAGAAAGTGAAATTAGTCAGAAAGTGAAAGACAGATACAGGATGGTTTCACTTATCTGTGGAATGTAAATAACCAAATAAAACAAAATGGCAAAGCACAGCAAATATAATTCTCAGGCTGGTTAAAATATACTGGTTACCAGAGGGAAAGAGGAGAAGGGGGAGGTGTAAGAGAAGGAAATGAGGATAGGACACTGGTACAGAGGGTGGTTGAAGCATATGCACGTATGGAATTTTGAAAATATACCCCCAAAACATAATTATGTAGTGATGTAGTTATGAAAATGACTGACACATTAATAAAATTTGAGGGAAAAAATGAGATACTTTATATCAAAAAAATTGCATGCTAAAAGCAAATTGAAAAGTTGAATAACTACTGGATAAATATTTTTGCAACAAATGTAACAAAGTATTGGTTTTCTTAATGAGCAAACTGCTCTTAGAAATAAGAAAAAAATACACACCCACTGGAAAAATGAGCAAAAAGTATGTGTATCATTTGCTGCAAAAGAAATAGTTAAACAAATGCAAATCAAACCACAATTAAATACCACTTTCAAATGCAGACTAAACCACAAGGTACTATTTTTCAATTACTGGGTTGGCACTGATTCCAAATTTGAGACTGCTGTATTAGAGGGGATTGAAGGAAACAGACATTCCTATGCATTGCTAGTGTGTAAAGTGGTGCAACTAATTTGGAAGACAATTTGGCAGTATCAGTCAGAATTAAAAAGACATCCACTATCTGACCCAGCAACTCAACTTCTAAGAATATACTCTATAAATACAAAAAAAGCTCTATGGCAGGTGAGGGGCGGGGAATGGAGGGCTTGGGTCAAAATAAGGGGGTTATAATTGTATGGGGAATATAAAAATAAAATTTAAATAAAAAAACACAAAAAAAGTAAGTATAAGGCCATCCTGGACAATACTTTTCATAGGAGTAACAAGACGGTATCTATTTGTAGGGTCATTATTAAATTATGGAAAAGTTATGCTATATAATAACATGGCTTTTAAAAAGAATAACGTTAACCCATGGTGTTGATAAAGAATTGTAACAGGGTGATCCCCAGGGAAAGGGGAGGTTCCAGGTTCCCTGCTTCCACCCTAAGGAAGGGTGGAGCTGAATAGGGAGTTGAGAAACTAGAGAAGACCTGGCTTAGGAGAAGCAGAGAGGGATGGAAGGCAAGAAGGAGAACTGCAGGAGGCACATGGAACAGAGAGACATGAGAATAAGCTGTGCTTGCTTTTCAGCCATGGACTTGTACCAGGGACTTGGGGGACAAGGAAAAAGACACTTGAAAAAGATGTGGGTCAGAGTGGGTTTGCTAAATTTAAGCGGCTTGTTCGGCGGCCATTAGAGTGACCTGCCATTCTGCATTCCTATACAAGGTCAAAACTGCCCTTCAGAACCGGTCAATCAGCCATAGGGGCCAAACCTTTCATATCAATCAAGACCAGAAAGCTTGATCATTCTGGGAAGGATATGCATCAAGAGGTGTGACTGGGAACACTCGGGGAGCCAAGGAGCGATGTGTGACAAGGGACCCCAGAAGCTGATCTGTGGAATGCCTTGTTGATAAGATTAGGACCATGGCCGGGGGCCCAGGATCTGGTTTCGATGACAACACTTGGTCATCAGGCTGATAACATGGTCAGCCGACTCATGTCCGCTCAAGTCCTACATGACATTCCTTAGTTTTACCCATCCTTTCTCCTTGTCCTCCTAACCCACGTAGCTGATGATGTATGATTATTCTATCAGTAAAAATGGCCAGGATCTTGCTCTCAAGCAGAATCCTGCATTATGTAGCCTGCTCCACGAGTCCCATGTCCTTGTCAGTGAGGAGTTGCCCAACGCAATGGGTGAGAGGCTGGTGGGGAGGCCAACAATGTCAGTATTTATCTTGATTTTGATTTTGCTCTCTTCTTTCCAGACATGTCTGGCCCCTTCTGCCCCTTTCCTATAGGTCCTCACCAGAAGGTGCCTTACACTTGTGGCAAGCTTTGGGGCCTCAGCGGTCTTGCTTTGGGCCAAGCCTGTTTGGCTGGGCATTTACCCACAAAGGGATGGGTAACTTTGGGTGTTTTGTGTAAAAACTATTTTTACTTCTCTTTATTGCACACTGAGTGTATTAAAGCGCCTTTCCATTAAAGGTCTTATGCACTAGAGTATGTTTTATCTTGATGTGGTGGATGGAAGAACTATTTAAAGCATGCAGGTTTAGGGGTTCTCGGGTTTCCCTCAACCCTGCCAGGTAACAGATTAATAATTTAGAAATTTTGTTGGCTAAAAATAAGGGAGCAAATCATGAAGGTCACATGTCACTCTTTTCAGAAATGTTATCCATAAACTAATGGGTGGCCAGTAAATATGAACTGATGCTTATGGTTCCAATGATCAGGAATATTCCCACTTTTTCTTCTTCTTTAGCACTTTTAATAGTTTGGAAGTTTAAAGTATGTATTATTTTTGTCATTTTAAACACAATTATAAATTCAATGCACCAACTTACAAAGTCTGCTCTACTTTACAGATAATCTGATACCATTTGGCAGATAAAGACATAGCAGTTATTTCCACCCAAGAAAATAAGGACTTTGATGTTATAAATAAGGATGATCTCTGAAAGTTTTAGATTAATTATACTTTAAACCACCTCAAATTCTTCTTGATTTATGAAACATCAAACTTGGGAAATGAAATAATTAATAGATCTGGAAGACTACAGAAAAATCAAATTGACCAAAATTATTTCTTTGGGTCTCAGTGGGTACTGTGGAGACTATTTTGCAACTACCAATCTGAAAATTTCAAAATACTTTCTGAACTTCAGGAGACACCAATTATAGAGGAATTTCCCTTAAATGACATAGTCAAACTGATTTCCCTAGGAGAGATAGAAATTTGAAAAAAAAAAAAAAAAACTCTGGAAAAAAAAAAAGAGAAAACTTCAGAAAGAAGTGCATCTGTTTCCCAGTCTGTAATCATAGCCCATCTATCTTGTGTATTTAAGTTTTTTGTTTTTTAATTTTCATCAAATATTAACTAAATTTACAATTGATTGTGTGATCAAATGGATCATATGCAAATCTGATCAAATTATTGAGGCAAACAAAAATTCCTAAACCAACCATATGTCAGATAACATATATAG